AAGAACCTCAAACTGTAGATGCCAACGTAAGTATTTTACTTGATGACACACACACACACACACACACACGTACACATTGATATAACCTTTCCTGGGGGGCTGGGACTTGCTTAAAGCTGTGTAACTTATCTTGGAGTACCGGGACTTGCTCAACTTGTTGATGAACATACTTGTCTTTTCTTGAAGAATGCAAGATTCATTGTTTGTACTTCTCCTTGACTAAACGAAAGAAAACAAACTACGATTTTCTGAAAGCTAGGGTTTAGTGAGAACTGGAAAGAGAAGAAACTGGAAGGTAAGAATTGAGAAAATAAGAAAGTCTAGCAGTGTCTATATATAATCAGTAAAAGAGGCAAGGGTGTCCAAATACTGTCCGAAAGGGTTTCCAAGTTGGTCCAGAAAATCATAATATTCGGGACAAAATGATAAATAAAAAAGAATATTGGTTTTTAGGAGTCTTTGATCTCTTGGTTGCTTAGCGACCAAGGATTCATAGTCATTCAGGTTTAAATTTGATATTAAGGGTTGAGATTAAAACACTAAAAACACATCTAAATCCAAGGGTGGATGACCATTCATTCCTTGGTCACTATAGATAAGTATGTGGATGAAACTAGTTATGAACTCTCACTTGGGGAGAGTTTATATCTTAGGTTTCCTAGTGGGCGTGGATTTCAATTTCTTGTAGGAATTTCAGGTACAGTTTGGTGTCCGTCTGATTACTTTTAGTGACGGTCGAATTTCATCAACTATATTGTATCTGGACGTGCGTGTTGACAATGAGTGTGGGACGGCAACCTCATTTGCACCCTTCAAATGAAGGCGCGGTACATTTGAATCAAACTTGAATACGGTACATTTTGAATCAATAACTAATAAACCTCGAATACAAAAATTGATTCAGAGTACAAAAGAATGAACAAATAATCAATATTAATCAAACAAGGCAGTGGCGTGCATCCAATCTACTACTTTTTGAAGATCTTGAGCAACTGATAGAAGGTGGTGGTCGTACATGCAAGCTCAATTGGCCCATCAATCTTTGCGTCGAACACATTCGGCTGCGACTCCTCGATGAGTTGTTGGAGAGTTGGATCATGGAGATACTTCAAAGGAATCTGATATAGCTTTCGTTCTTGTCCAACGTACACATTGATATAACCTTTCTTGGGAGGCTGGGACTTGCTTAAAGCTGTGTAACTTTTCTTGGAGTATTGGGACTTGCTCAACTTCTTGATGAACATACTTGTCTTTTCTTGAAGAATGTTTGCAAGGCTCATTGTTTGTACTTCTCCTTGACTAAACGAAAGAAGCAAAACTAGGGTTTTCTGAAAGCTAGGGTTTAGTTGGAAACAGAAGTAACTGGAATGTTATAGACGAGAGGAAAAAAACTAGGGTTTTCTGAAAGCTAGAGCAAGTTGGACGTGAAGATATTGAGAATTAGAGAAGAAATTGGAAGGTAAGAATTGAGAAACTAAGAAAGTCTAGCAGTGTATATATAATGAGTAAAGCGGCAAGGGTTTCCAAATACTAGTCTGCAAGGGTTTCCAAGTTGGTCCAAAAAACCATAATATTCGGAACAAAATTATAAATAAGAAAACAATATTATTGGAGTCTTGATTTTGTGTTACTTGGGGACCAAGAATTCATAGTCATTTACCTTTGGATTTGATATTAAGGGTTAGGATTAAAATAATAAAAACACATCCAAATTCAAAGATGGATGATCATTCTTTCCTTGATCACTAGTAAAAAACGTGGATGAGACTATGAACTCTCAATAGTGGAGACCAAGTTTATGTCTTAGGTTTTTTTAATGAGCGTAGATTTCAATTTCTTGGAGGAGTTTTGTGAAGATTGAAGCAGTAGCTTCAATGGAGATGATCAAAAAAACCAAACTGTAGAGAGAGAGAGAGAGAGAGAAAGACTGAGAGTTGAGAGAAGTTTTCTTTGTATTTCTTGAGAGACAAGTTATCTTCTTACACCTTAGCTATATGTATTAGCCTAATTACATAGCTTGTAGCATAAGCTACGATATGGATAATATTCTAACAATCTAACCTTAGCACCAAATTCTGACAGCCTTGTAACTTCCCTTGGATCTTGTGACATTTGTCATCATCTAGACCCTTGAATTCCTTTCACTTGAATTCTCATCTTTGTACTTGTTGTCTTTACTTAAATCCTCATCTTTGTGTTTGTCTACACTCTTACAAGTTTCAGGTACAGTGTGGTATTCTTCTGATTACTACCCTTAGGCGGTGGAGGAACAAGCGGCAGCCACCTCTTAAGTCTTTAGCTCGGATTGAGAAAGGAAAAGCCGACATTTACAACAATGTTCTGAATGTTGTAGAACCTGAATACATGTTATATAACAAATCTCGAACACAAAAATTAATTGAAAATACTAAATAATAAACAAATAATTGATGGTAATCAACGAAGGCAAGGCTGTGCGACGTATGCGTGCATGCAATCTACTACTCCTTGAAGATCTTGAACAAACTGATCGAAGGTGTGTTGGTCGTACATGCAGGCTCAATTGACCCGTCAATCTTTGCATCGAACACATCCGGTTGCGACTTCTTGATGGGTTGTTGGAGAGTTGGATCCAAGAGATATACTTCGAAGGAACTTGAAATCGCTTCCGTTTGCTACAAGAAAAGTGAGCAACACTAAAGAAAGTATTGTAACTGTTACTCATTAATTTGTGAGAAAAGCAAAAGGCAGGTTTTTAGCATTTGAGATAAATTGTCACTGTAATGAAGTTAAGCTATATTTATGAAATATAATTTATATTGGTGATATTTGATATCATGAGATATAGTTGAATTATGTGTTGTCTGATAGTCTTGACAATATAATACTTATGTCCCTCCCCTTATCAATTTTAGACCTTACAGGTTTGGTACAAAATTAATGAAGGGTAGAAGAGTGGAGATTGTGTCAGAAGAGCGCATAATATTTTTATTATTCTTGTACATTTGTAAAGTTTGGAGATTTATTTGTACAATATAAGTTTATTTTCTTCTTTTTTTCATTTTTTCGCACCGAACACGGGTTTAATTTTTTCACCGTCCTAAATTTGAGACGCAACAAGCTTTTTCGTCTCCTTGCCCTTTTTTAATAGTCGTAATAAAATTATATCAAACTTGTAATCCTTGTGAGTTGTGAGGGTGCAATACTTTGCTTAATTGGACCCTCTAAACCTTATTTGTAATGAAAAATAAAACCACAAAATGAGTAGACGGATGGTAATATGGACTATTTATAGAATGAGTATCTTAATAAGGTCACTAATCACAGAGTGGGAGCTACCATATCAAATATCTTGTCTACAATGTGAGAGAGGTTACTTATTAAACTTAAGTAAACACTAATGCTGATCTAATAGCTTAGAATAGTTGTCTACTAATCATAAATACAAAATCTACACAAAATAAAAAGGAACGTTTTATTTCACCTCTCCATTTGAACAAATACTTTACAGTCATCGTATTCTCATTCTCACTTCTCAGTACACATGTGTTACGTCTATTAGCTTCTTAAATGCACAATATCTTATTCATAAATACACAATAAATGCACGTTTTATTTTACACCTCCAATTCCAACAAACACTTTACACTCGTCGTATTTTCAAGATGCAGATCTGCATACGTTACAGCTATCAAGTTTTGAATTATATGATATTCAGATCATAAATACCGAATTTGCACAACAAGAAAAAAAAAGCAGTGAGTCACACTTTTTTTCTTTCTATGTTTTGTTTCACCCCTCCATTTAAACAAATACTTTACAGTTGTTGTAGTCTCATTCTCAATACACATGTGTTACGTCTGTCAGCTTCTTAAACACACAATATATGATTTATAAATACACAATCAACACAAAAGGAAAGATGTTTATCTTTTTACTATCTTACCACTATTTGAAGAATGAACGTATAAGATGGAGTGAAGTCCACTTGCATAAGGCAAATGCCATTTTTGGTCCCAAAGAGCCATAAAACACCACCATCATCATCACAATCCCAACCGTTGAATGTCCAACACCTCCACATTCAATCTCATCACACCAAATCAACGGTCAGGTTCGAGTGAAGTCCTTGGTAAGAAATTGTGGGGCTCACACTAGAGGGAGAGTTCTTGCACTTGACTTGGGGATGAAGAAAATATAAACAAACAAAAAAAATTGTGCCATTGTACTCAAGGTATCTACCGGCCGGTGGCCTTCCTGCCCTCGACATGTCTCAGCCACTCGGAACCATCTCTGCTGCACCTTGGGGCTCTGCACTTGTTTTGCCAATCTCTTACACTTACATAGCCATGATGGGGTCCAAGACTCCAAGGGACTCAACAATGCATCAAAGATAGCAATTCTGAATGAAAACTGCATGGCCAAACGCTTGGAGGTTCCACTTTGCTCCTACACTCTTGTTTTGCTTTACAAATTGAGCTTACGGTTATACTCTATGTTAAATTTCCTCTTTTTGCTAAATTTTTCCGTCATTTCTTACAGAATTACTACACCATTCTTTGCCGTGGTGTCAATGGAACTGTTGCCCATGAATTCATTGTTGACTTTATTAACTTCGTGTCATTATATCTTCATGTATATCACCTTGTTCCACATGATTATCATTCCCATCTGAATTCTAGAGCATATGAAAAGTATCGTTAGTGCCAACATCAATCAGATTTTGCATAGTTTCCAAAACTCTATCGAAATCATGACACCCTTCCTCTGCCACTAACATGAGCTTCACAAAGAACTACCTTCTATACAGTTGTGACACACCCTCATGCTGGTTATAGCAATTTCTTGCAGGATTACTCTTCGTGTGATTTACCGTCAACAATTTCATTTAACAATGGCTTCGTGCCCACAATGAAAAACTACAATGTCCTTAAAGTAAAAGCTCTGCTCATCTCTCTCCTCCAAGACTATAAGTTACTCATTTTACATAATTATAAATGGTTTTTGAACTCCTCCTGCAGGGAGCTCCTCACCTGCCATCACTGCTCATGGGAGATGCATGGACAAAACCATATTCCTGGGAATATGCAGCCTTCCCCGCTTCCTGGCTCCGTCCTTCCAAGTTCTGGCCTACTGCAGGTATGCAATTGACACCAAAAATAAAGAAACTACAATGGCATGGAAGTTGCTAAGTGTTTGCTATACTTTCATTTTGGTACTGCCTGATGCTTTTATTAACGATTGAATTTCGTTAACTACTATATCAGGACGCGTTGACAATGTGTACGGTGACCGTAACCTCATCTGCACCCTTCAACCGGAGGGTAGTGGAGGAACAAGCAGCAGCCACTGCTTAGTCTCTTCGGCTCGGTGCATTGAGCTCAACACAATCTGGTTATGGATATGTTATGAAATCATCATCAATTTCTTCTTCTCACTCCCACATTGCATATAATTTCTTCAATACAGTCATTTATATCTGGTGACATTTTCATTTCCAATTTATGATGATGACGATTTTCTTTTCTGGTAAGTACAAGTGTTGCTAATTGCAACTTAGATGTTGTAATTATTATTGCCCTTCTTCATTAGGTTATTTCCCCATTGAGCACCACAATGCGTTGGCCCTATTGCACTTAAGTTTAAATCTCTTTCTTATGTTAGATTAGTTTAGGCATCCTTTTGCTAAAAACATATTTGAAAAAAAAAAAAAAACCATGTATATTATTTTGCCTCACTGTCAAAAGAATGAGTTTGAAAAGCTGACCCTTAATGTGACAGTCAATGTCAATACGTGATAGCTAGGAAGAACAACAAAATCATTGTTCCCTCGCTTGAATTTTAAAGAGCACATTGCAAGAGCGTACGATTTGTTGATCTAATGACATTCTGTCTCCGTTGGGTTGGATGTCTTATGTTTAATTCAAACGAATGCAAATTGTATCGTTTTTATATAAAATAGTAAAAAAAACACATGCGATGTAAGAAGCTATTAGTTTCAGGATTAACTGTACTGTGAGTAACTTTAAAATAATCTCAATTTCTTCCTCAGAAAAATAAAGAACCTCAAATTGGAGATGTATGCTTTTTGAACGATAAACTAAGTTAAATATGGTACATATGAATCAATAACTAATAAACCTCGAATACAAAAATTAATTCAAAGTGCAAAAGAACGAACGAATAATCAATATTAATCAAACAAGGTAGTGCGTGCATGCAATCTACTACTTTCTGAAGATCTTGAGCAACTCATCGAAGGTGTGGAGAGTTACTTCAAAGCAATAGATACTTCAATAGATACTTCAAAGCAATTTGATATGGCTTTCGTTCTTGTCCAACGTACACATTGATATAACCTTTCTTGGGGGGCTGGTACTTGCTTAAAGCTGTGTAACTTTTCCCGGAGTATTGGGACTTGCTCAACTTCTTGATGAACCGACTCGTCTTTTCTTGAAGAGTGCTTGCAAGTTTCATTATTTGTACTTCTCCTTGACTAAACTAAAGGAAAAACAAACTAGGGTTTAGTGAGAACTGGAAAGAGAAGAAACTGGAAGGTAAGGATTAGAGAGACGAGAAAAAAACTAGGGTTTTCTGAAAGCTAGAGCTAGTTGGACGTGAAGAAATTGAGAGTTTCGAAGAGAAGAAATTGGCAGGTAAGAATTGAGAAGCTAAGAAAGTGTCTATATATAATCAGTGAAAGCGGCAAGGGTTTCCAAATACTAATCTGCAAGGGTTTCCAAGTTGGTCCAAAAAATCATAATCTTCGGAACAAAATGATAAATAAAAAACAATATTGATTGTACGAGTCTAGATGTCTTAGTTACTAATTGGGGACCAAGATTCATAGTCATTCACCTTTGAATATGATACCAAGGGTTGAGATTAAAACACTAAAAACACATCCAAATTTAAGAGTGGATGACCATTCATTCCTTAGTCGCTAGGTAAAAAAATGTGGAACTCTCAGTTGTAGGAGATCGAGTTTATATCTTAGGTTTTCTAGTAGGCGTGGATTTCAATTTCTTGGAGGAGTTTCAGGTACAGTTTGGTATTCGTCTGATTACTTCTAGTGACGATTGAAATTCGTTTCCTTTACTGTATATAGACGTGCGTGTTGATAATGTGTGGTGACGGCAACCTCATCTGCGCCCTTAGGCGGTGGAGGAACAGGCAGCAGCCACCTCTTAAGTCCTCAGCGCAGACTGAGAAAGGAAAAGCCGACATTTACAACAATGTTACGAGTGTCGTAGAACTTGAATACATGTTTATATAACAAATCTCGAAAACAAAAATTAACTGAAAGTAGTCAAGAATAAACAAACAATCAATGGTAATCAACAAACGCGAGGCTGTGCGACGTATGCGTGCATGCAATCTGCCACTCCTTTAAGATCTTGATAAACTGATGTCAAAAGTGTTGGTAGTACATGCAAGCTCAATTGGCCCGTCAATCCTTGCATCGAACACATCCGGTTGCGATTTCTTGACGAGTTGTTGGAGAGTTGGATCCAAGAGAATATACATTGATGGAACTTGATATCGCTTCCTTTCACCACAAGAAATGTGAGCAAAAGAGTAGTTTTTCTGCATTTGAGATAAATTTTCACTATAATGAAGTTGAGCTGTATACCTGAAATATAATTTATGTTGTTGATATTAGATATCATGAGATATGATTGAATTACGTGTTGTCTTACACTTGGTTTAGCCTTGACAATACTAATCACATAAGTAGAGTGGGAGCTACCATATTAAATATCTTATCTACAATGTGAGAGAGATTATTAAACTTAAGTAAACACTAAAGCTCATCTAATATCTTATAATTGTTGAACAAATACTTTATAGTTGTCATATTCTCATTTTTAGGATGCATGTGTTACGTCTGTCAGCTTCTTAAACGCACAATATCTGACTTAACAAATACACAATAAACGCATGTTTTATCTTACACCTCCCTTTCAAACAAAAACTTTTTCATCTCCTTGCTTTTTTAATAGTCCATTTATAGAATAAGTCTCTTAATGAGGTCACTAATCACATAAGCAAGTGGGAGCTACCATATTAAATATCTCCTCTACAATGTGAGAGAGATTATTAAACTTAAGTAAACACTAAAGCTCATCTAATATCTTACAATAGTTGAACAAATACTTTGCAGTTGTTGTATTCTCATTTTTAGAACAAATACTTTACAGTTGTTGTATTCTTATTTTTAGTACGCATGTGTTACGTATGTCATCTTCTTAAACGCACAATATCTAACTCAATAAATACACGATAAACGCATGTTTTATCTTACACCTCCCTTTCAAACAAAAACTTTACACTCGTCGTATTTTCAGTATGCAATTCTGCATGTGTTACATCTGTCAAGTTTTGAATTATATGATATGTTGATCGTAAATACCGAGACCGCAAGACAAAAAAAAATAGCGGTGAGTCTCACTTTTCTTCTTTCTATGTTTTGTTTCACCTCTCCATTTAAACAAATACTTTACATTCTTCGTATTTTCATTCTCAGCATGCATGCGTTACGTGTCATCTTCTTAAACGCGTAATATCTGATCCATAAATACACAATAAACATAAAAGGAAAGATGTTTATCTTCTTACTGTCTTTATCAGTGATTGAAGAATGAACATATAAGATAGAATAAAGTCCACTTGCATAAATCAGTGCCATTTTTGGTCACAAAGAGCCATAAAAACACCGCCATAATAATCACAATCCCAACCGTTGGATGTCCAACATCTCCACATTCAAATATCATCGCACAAAATCAACGGTCAGGATCGAGTGAAGTCCATGGTAAGAAATTGTGCGTTTCACACTAGAGGGGAGAGTTCTTGACTTGGGGCTTAGGGAAAAAAAAAAAAATTAGTAGCAAAATTGTAGCAAAATTGTTAATTGGCTTCATGGGGTGAGCGGTTAATTTTTAACTCTCTGTTTCTCTCTCTCCTTCTCCTCTCTCTCTAAGTGGTGGTAGCTTGACGAAGAAGGGTGCGCAGGTAAAGCGAATCTGCTTTGTTTCCTAGTGGGCGTAGTTTAATCCAGTCGAGTCGACAGGGAGGAGAGAGGGAGAGAGAGAGAGAGAGAGAGGGGGGGGGGAGGATTTCGGAATTTCCATTGATGATCGATGTCGAAGATGAAGCACCTACTGAGAAAGCTTCACATCGGTGGCGGACTCAATGAGCACCAGAGACTCGCCGAGACCCGACCCGTGACGAGTCCGAACACGGATCTCAACCCGCTTGCTTCTTCTCCGGCCTCGTCCACGGGCTCCGCTACAATGGGGAGAATTGCCGCCGTCGAATCGGTGAGTGATCGGACGGCTGGGGGGGAGAGTGGTGTTAGCGGTAGCGGTAGCGGTAGCGGCGGGGGCGTGGATTTCAATTTCTTGGAGGAGGAGTTTCAGGTTCAGTTGGCCCTGGCGATCAGCGCTTCGGATCCCGATTCGCGCGATGACCCCGAGACGGCTCAGATCGACGCCGCTAAGCGGATTAGCCTCGGATGCTCGGCTTCTACTGTCACTGACACTCAAGCTCCCTGCGACATGCTCTCGCTTCGCTACTGGGTACGTTTTTCTCACAGAAATATTTCTAGGGTTCTTAATTTTCTCGCATTTAACGACTTAGCCTGTGCGAATTGGAATGAATTAGGTTTTCTGTGAACTTAGGATCTCAATTTCTATGCTTCTATGCTTTATCATTTTCTAGCTAGGGGGAGATGGTACTAGTGATTGATAGCTTGAATTGTGGAATGCTTTGTATTGCTTATGGTGACATTTTCGTAACAATTTCATGTTGAATCATTCTGTTATTTATGTAAGGTGGGTGCTTCTTGGTAGTTTCGTTACCTAATAATGTCGTAAGATTGGTAAATTCAGTTCAAGGATAACGGCTGGGTTCATATTGAAATTACTTTATGTTGCATATTGTTGTTTAGTATTGTCAATTGTAATGATTTTTAGGTTTTTAACTAATTGTATATCTATAACTTGCAGAGCCACAATATTGTAGATTATAATGAAAAGGTTGTCGATGGATTTTATGACGTGTATGGAATGACCACAAATTTGCTTAGACAAGGGAAGATGCCATTGTTGGTGGATCTTCGAGCTGTATCTGTTTCAGAGGATGTTGATTATGACGTCATATTAGTGAACCGTTTGGTTGATCCCGATCTGCAACAACTTGAGAAAAGAGCATATGCTGTATCTCTAGAGCCACAGATTTCTCAACATGGTGTCCTTTTAAGCGGTTTAATTCAGAAAATTGCTGACATTGTTGTTGATAGAATGGGTGGTCCAGTTGCTGATGCTGATGAAATTTTGAGAAGGTGGAAAGTGAG